TGATCTGACAGAACACCGTGATTCTAACACAAACCTCCGCACAGCAGCAGCAGGTCTCCTTCACAGGTGTAAACCCAGCGCGAGCGTCGTAGCGCTCATGTTGCGTTTAAAGGCGGCTCGGAAAAACAGGTTACAACATGTTAACAACGGATTAAACAGTTTTAATTGCTGATAAAAGTAACAGAGGACACAAATATGGGAGGTGTGGAAGCCTCTACTGTATCAAATTGACATAGGAATAACAGAGTTGGGGATTCTAAGGTAAAAACCCAGCGCATACAGTGTTCATGTTTTGTTTTGTTTTTTCATCCAGACGGCTTCCCGCGGCCCCCCTAGGGGGCGCGCCCCACAGTTTGGGAACCTCTGAGTTAGGGCAAGAGTAAGAGTCTTTTGTTTGTTTGTTTGTTTAATAACAAGAATTAGTAGTATAATAAACACACAAAATTACCAGAAGAAAGTTGTAAAATGACTAGAAGGTGTTTGAATAAGACCAAAGCTCTGAAAGTCCTGCAACTGACGATAATTTGATGCTGATGTCTTAAAATATCATGTCCTATTTGTAAAACTGATGCCAAAGTATAACTTCAAAAGACGAAGACCTTCCTATATTATTATTTTTTATGTTAGAGTCACCATAAAATTACTACTTTACTCTTTTAGTATGACAACCTTATTGCGGCAATATTACATCTTTTTTCTTGCATTTTTAAATCAGTCTTCTCATATTAAAGCCATATTATTTTTGACTTACAGTTGCACAACTAAATTTTCATAATACTTTGACTTTATTCTAGTAATAATTTTTGTGTGTGTGTGTGTGTGTGTGCTAGCCTAGCCCAAGTACTGTATCTGGCTTGGCAAAACAAATTTATCCCATGCCTGAATTGTTGTCAAGGGCCGCATACAATCATTCAGAGGCAGCAAATGGCCCTGCGGCCACACTTTGGACTTCCATATAACTTATTGGGAATGAAACTTAAAAAAAAAAAAAAAACACTCAGCATACAAGCTTACATGGGCTACATACAGCAGCTTCCCATTTTACTGCTGCCTAGCTCTCTCTTACAACCAAAGCTGTGTGCCTTCAAAAACCCGGACTGCACCTTTAATGTCCTGTCGGGGTTTGTCCAATTAGTGAGTAGGTGGAGCACACAGGAGCAAACCTACCGGAAAAGAAAACACAGACGCTTTCCTCCACCTAACCTGAGCTGACACACGCACGTCAAAGCTGCTGTTTCTTCGCCTGAAGTTTTTCCAGCCACGGAAAAAGTCAAACGGAGACGGAAAGTCGAAGCGGATGGTGCTGGAGGAACTTTCCCACATGATTGAGGTGTCGATACCGTCGCTGGAGAGGGAGGTGGACGAGTCTGGCAAGACGAAGAAGGTGAGCGCGGTCCAAATTTCCTAAATTCAACTTTAAACGTTTTCAAACTTATTGGGAAAGTTTGAAAACGCTCACAGACGAACACGCGCTTCCTCGGCGTGTAATTTCGCACTAATTGCTATTCTGTGCCGAAGAATGAAGCCGCACGGGGGCCAGGTGAGTCTTACCTGTAAGAAGAGGCGATTCAATTCACAGCGGGTACAAACTTTTCTCGCGCGAGTCAAAACCGTCAAGTGTAAAGGACTCGCGTGCTAAATTTATATATTTTTGGAAACATTTTGCTGTGATTTGTTTTATTTTATTTAAAGCAGCTCAACAACAAACTAAGCAAATATTTAAAACTAATCAAATAGATTTTTTGTGGAGACAGTAATATGTAAATAACTGAAAATCTAGAACTTAAAAGGTTTGTGTCTTTTTAATTTCACTAATATTAAAAGGATTAGTCCCAAATAATAGAAGTTGATTTGGGATAGTTTGTCTTTAAAAATGTTTGCTGTTTTTAGCTTAGTTTTATTAAATTAATTGAAGCAGATTTAGGTGCAGAAAAGATACTTTTGAGCAAAAATCAGTGTCTAGATGTTGTCCTGTTTACTATAATTTTAAAGAAAATCTAAAACTCTTTGTGACCTATGCTTTGTGTTGCGGCTAACAATGTAAATTGTGAAACCATTTTTATTTGTAGTTGGTCATTTTGCTTAATTGATAATAAAAAGCCTTCGTTTGCATCGTCTTTAAAAAATGTGTGACGTTTTATGCTTCTGAGCTTATTTCTATATATTTTTGTGATTATATTTACAAGCCTGAATGTTTCTGTGGGTTCCAAACCAACAAGGGTGGGAGAAACTAACATGCGTAACAGACGTATTCATACTGTAAATCCTAACACACAACAATACTTGTATTTACTCTCTTTGGTAATGCTCAATTGTTGATCATTGAACAGGTTTGGGGAACTGGCGGATAATCCACTTACAAAAATCATTGTTCATGCTGCCCTAAAATATGATGCAGCCTATTTTATATGAATGTTATTTTATCCCTGCGTTGACATTCAGGACCAGTTAAACCAGTTAGGAACTTGAATCACTGTCCCACTGTCTCATCAGGGACCTAAAGGACTAAAAGAGAGTGCAGTGGGCGATATGGATTTATTTATATTGCGATATTTTGTGGTATTATTGCAATATCGATCATAAGTGACGATAAGAAATATTTATTACTACTGTTTTAGGATGTGGCTGCAAACATACATAAGCTCAAATATCACTCTTGACAAACAAACTCATTTGCTTCTTTAGGACACCGATAACATAAAGAAGTGAGATTAGTATCACTAAACTGTACACAGTAACAGCATTTAATTATAATTACAAATGTATTGGTATTTTTCAATACTCTCATTAAATAAACGGTGAAAAAAATAATCCCAACAAAACGGACAGTTCTGGTGGTTTTAAATGTCATTCATCAGAATGTATCGTGACAACAGTGAAAAGTATCGTTTATTGTGATAATCGATACGATAATGGCAATAGACACTAGGGTTATGCAAAGGGTAAATTCATAAAATGTTACCTCAACATTGTAGCTAGTACCTGATTTTAACAGAACCTGCTGATTCGTTTCCGACACGTATTTAAACTTAGAATTTCAAAACTTACAGAGAAAATCAGCATACGGTAATTATTGTTTGTTTTCTAAAATGTGACGCATTCAGTTTCACACTACAGAATAGTATTACAGAAAAACAACTATGCAACAAAATCATTCCAACTAAAACCTGGTATCGGAAGGAAATGTTTGTTTCTCGCTCCCAGCTGCCTGCTGTGGACAGGAACCAAATTCTTTGCTGCACTGCTCTTGGTGAACCAGCAGGCCTGTGAAAACAGAGCCATCATGCAGCACAGTTAGAAACCGCTGCAGCTTCAAGGCTGCTCTACAAAAGTCTTATTTTGTGCTGAAACTGAAGCAGAACCTGAGTAGATAAAAAAGAATGGCTAAAAGGAACATATGTGCTTTCTAGCACACTGAAGGCTACTATGATCACCGTGCCACATTCAGAGCTGCATGGCAGAAAAGCTAACAGAGGCACCAGAGTGAGGAATTTGGCTCACTGTGAATCAGACGGCCTGTGGTGCAGAACATGAGCGACTCGCCCTGCTTTTATCTTCTTATTTATTGAAACAAAAGCAAAGTTCAACATTTATTGATTTTTTTTTTTCTCTTGGAAGGGCTCACTAAATGTTTTTTGTTGTTGTTTTCTTGCATATCTGCTGTTCAGTTCTGATGTCTGGTAAAGTCTAACAGGTCGGTTCAAATATTTGCAAACTCCGTTCTGATTTATTTAAAGTATTGTTACTTATTGCAGCAGAAAGAAAAGCATGTGCTGCAACTATCCTGGGAAAAATGTCTGAAGCTCTTTACCGCCTCCTGCTGGAAAGGCGAGTTGATTGTTTTTGCACTGACGATCTGCTAAAAAAGATCGATTATAACATTGGAGCCCAAAGTGGGTCCTGGAGGGCTGGCATCCTACATGTTCTAGTTCTCTCCCTGGTGTAACTTAGCATGAGCAAATCATTTATTTCCTAATTTACATTTTCTTTTCTTCTGACTAATCTATCTTGGAAGAGTTACAATTTTGTGAAGAAGTTTGATTTTTGATTATTTTTCTATTTTCTTTTTTTATCTTCTTTTTTTTCCAGCTTTTCAGAGTTGAAGTCTTGTTTAACGAGAGGAAACATTATGTCCTCAGAAGAAACAGTGAATTCCAGACGCTCCATAGGAAGGTATGTGTTAATATCAGACTTCCTTTGTCCTGCTTTCTTAAATCTCTTGGAGGGTTTCATTTTGTTTTTGTCTGTGGTCAGTATCTTTCAATGTTTAAAATCCTTAAAATGATTTGAAACACATTAGGGCTTCTGAAACCATAAAATAAAATGATTTTTGCGTGTATGTACGTGTTATTGTGATGCTGGCAGCTTAAGAAGATCATCCAGACTCCGGATTTTCCGAGCAAAAGGAACCCCCATCTGAGGACCAAACCTCTGGAGCAGAGGCGGCAGGAGCTGGAAGATTACATCCAGGTAAGAAGCAGAGGTTTCATATAATAATAGTAATAATAAAGTCCTGTTTATGTGAACACCATCTCTTGTTTATATGATGGCATATTAGGGCAAATGTATATAAAAAAAGTACATTTCTGCCAAAAAAAAAATAATCTCAGAAATTTTCTACAAAAATTTTTAAAAATTCTAAGTTTCAAACATTGAAATTTTGTAGGAAAAAGGAATCTAATTTTGAGCCTACACTCAGAAATTAGATAGAAAAAACATGGAAACTTCTGAGTTTCAAAAGTTGAAAATTTGCGAGAAAAAGATCCGAATTTTTTAGCTCAATCTCAGAAAATTTCTACAATTACTTAGAAATTTCTGAGCTTGAAAAGTAGAAAATTGTCAATTTTTCAAACTTTGAAGTATCCAAGTTTCTTCTAGAACATTTCTGAGGTTAACCTCAAAATTTCAGCGTTTTTCTGGCAGAAATTTGCTCCTCTCTCTCGGGCCTGACGCGCCGTCGTATGTTTTTCTCTCCGCATAAGGACATTATCTACCAAAACGAAGACGTGCCTCAGGTGCTGCTGGACTTCCTCCACGTGAAGCACTTCCACACAGGGAACAAGATCAGCAGCGTCGAGTGAGTCCAGCAGCCTGCTCTCCTCCGGGAGCCGGCCGGCCGGCGATGCTGCATGCGTTGCTATATTTGTTGCCTCTATTTTCAGATTGGGGGCAATGCGGCAACATGATAAAACTTGAGAAACATTCTTCACGGCGTCCCCCCCAGAGCAGCAGTGACGGCTCAGATCGAGTCGTTGCTGTTTGTGGAAAACTGCGTCTGTTTAAAAGCAAAATGAAACCGTTCCACATGAATGTAATATCTAATATTTTAATATTCTGTTTTTAGGTCACTGGATGAACTGGACAGTCAGGAATACAAGTAAGTTTTTACTTTAAGAACAATCGGACAAAAAGGGAGAAAAAGATAAATGACGATCACTTTAAATAGTTTATCAGTTAACACACATTTAAACGTGGTCACTCAGCTGAAATTTTTCTGCTTCTTGACCCGAATACAGAGAAAAAAGCTCCAAAATGCAAAACGAGGCCTATGAAGCATTAATATCAGTTTGAGTCTGATGTGTAAAAAAACTCAGACTTTGTGGACTGAAATTTACTTTGATTCTTCCTAGAACTGTCACTGTAACAAATTGTCCCAGAAGTTATTGTGATAAACTATAATATTGTTGCTTTGAGACAATTTTTAGGTAATATAATGGTAAATCACATATTCTCAAAGATCAATTAACTTAAAACATAACTAACATTTAACACTGGAACTAGAAGACATTTTAAATATCCAAAATAAATAAACAAAAGAACAAATAAAATGAATTATGAAGTCTCTGTAAACAAAATTAAATTGTCCTTTAAAACAAAAAAGCAAGTTGAGGCCAAAACACAAGACTGAAGACTTTAGTGATCTGGTTTTTGGTTAAAAAAAAAAAAAAGAAAAGAAAAAAGAGAGAAACAGAAAAGGAAAAAACAATAAATTCTGCAAGTGGAAATTATTGATACCATTTTAACTTAACATGCGGTTAACTGATTTATTGTGTCAGGCGTAATTCTGACCAGATTTGCCACATGTACGGAAGAGAAAGAGGCAGCGCCGCCCCCTGGCTAAAATAAAATCTGTACTTTTCAGCCATGATGCTGATATTGATCATTTTTTATAACTTGCTGGTTCCAGGAGAGTAGCAGTCAGTATCAGTCATTTATTTACAATTATTATTTGCTGGTGAGAGGTAAACTGTTGGACTGAAGCAACCTTTTTTTGATAACGGACTCCCAGTGATGGGAATCATTAAAATAAACTTTTTCCATCATTTTTCCAAAATGTAATAAAACTCTTATGTTTATAGAGTGTTTTAGGCACCGAGGCGGCCGCCAGCATGCGTCCTGTTTGCTTTGAATGCAAACGGAGGCAGAAGATGTTTACCTCGTGTCCGTGGCATCAGGAGACCAGGAATGTCCTGAAAGCGTTTGTAGTTCAGAGCGCAGATGGAATGCGGCTCCGGGGCCGTCGTCGTGGCTACCCCGCTTCCCGGTCATTTGATGACGCGGCGCGGCTCAAACCAGAGACCGTGACACACTTAGGAGCCGCTCCGCTGATCTGATGCTTTCAACACCAAACTGCGTCTCATAAGGCAGAACACTGCTGCCCCTGGAAGCGTAGTCAGATTTTTATATTTGCGTAAGCATCAACACTGGTATGTCACGACTGTTTAAAGATGAAGCTGGACACGCCTCTACTCGCCAAGCATGGGCAACATGGCTTAAAATTAAAATCTGATTTTCCAGCTTTATTTATTTTTTTTTATAATATTTTTATTTCATTCATCAATATTCTGAGTTGTGCAACGTAAACGTAACTACGAGAATTTTTGTGTAATTGCGAGAAATGTAGTGGAAAAAATATGCAATTTTACGAGAAAACTGTCTTAAAATGACAAGAAAAGTTGTTTAAAGGAGAAAAAATCTCACTTATCAGGATTCGACATGACCGCCTTAGTTTGTGTTGCTCCTTCTTTGAAACAACAAAATTGTTTCAAAATCTTGATGCTGATAATTTAATGGTGATGTTTTAAAAGATTAAGTATCGCGATTAAGTGTTGAGTACTACCTGTAAAATTTATATCAGTCTAATTTCACAAGATGCTTAACTTTCCACATTTAAATATTTTGTAGTACTCATAAAATTACAACTCTTTTCTGTTAATATGAGTTTATTTTTGTACTATTATGACTTTATTCTCGTAATAAAAAAAAACAACATTGTATCTTGACCCTTTTGTTGTACAGTTTAAGTAAATAGAAGCTGTGAAACAAGATGGCCGCTCTGGGTTTGCTGACATCACTCTGAACTATGAGAACCCAAAGAGTTCATTATTGGAGTAGGGGGGGGAATGAAATTTAAAAAAAATGTTCTTTCAAAACATAAATCTTTAAAGACAAAATAATTCAATGAATAAATAAAACTGATTTCTCTCCGAGCCCTACTACTGCCTTCAGTTTCAATATGGCACGTGAAGGTTACTGTTTCACTGAATCGATTACTTACATTTCTGCTTTTCGTTTCCACAGTTACCAGTTACCACAGCAACGGGTTCTGGGCTTCTTCCAGGATCCTTATCTGCCCGGCAGCTCATCAGGTAGCTTTGAGTCGACATGTCAGAGCGACGGTCTGTGTTCAGGTGAAACAAACCCTGCCCTCTTTCTCGCAGGCCTCCCGGACATGGTGGTGGACGGAGTTCTGCAGGGTTTCTACCCCCGGGACATCCGGGTCAGCTTCAGCGCCTCTATTCTCCCTGACCCCGACGCCTGACAGGCAGCATGGCCCAAAGAAGAAATGCACAGAAATATGGCTACATTTCGACCAATTACAGTATCGTAGAATGGTTCATTTGACTCAGGAGAAGAAATTCATGACAGTTCAAGTTCATTTTGGTCATTGTGACTTGAATCAAATTCAGTTTCTCTGAAGACCTGAATAATATGCACACAAAAGCTTAAATCAAATCAGGTCTTCTTCCAGACAGTGAACTTGATTTTTGAAAACGAGAGGCTTTTTCTAGAAGATTCTTATTTCTTACTTTTGTTGGATTGACTGATGTATGGTAAAATGTAACGGCTCTTTTCACACAAACTGTGTCACAGAATCAAAACAACGCAACAATTGAGCTAGGCGCCGTCAATATTCCATTTCACCTTTTTTTCCTTCCACTGAACTTTCCATTAATATGCTTTTTCCATTAATAAAGCATTTTAACGACTGTCTGCTGGACAACTGTCAAGTTGGGAGTCTTTACTGTGATCGAGACAGCCATAATGTAAACGTAATGTTAGTTCTGTACTAGTTTTTTTTTTTTTTTTACAAGTTTTATGTAATCACATTATTTTGAAATACAAAATTGTGTGTTTTCATTCGGTGTAAGCTTTAATCTCCAAACAGGCTTAAATAAGGTTACCCGGGCAACAACACTGCAGCATTTCTCCTTAGAATTGCACAACAAACATCCACGTTTTCCCATGACACGAGTTTCAGTTTCTGAGCTAAATTACTGAAATGCATCAAACTTTTCAATGCACTTTTACTTTATCGACATGCAGCTGTGAAATGGAAATGCAATTTGTATCCAGTGAGACAAATTTCAGAATTGAGGATTCAAGGCAGCGAAGCCGGGACATGAGCCGCGTGTTTTTACTTGTACTTTACGGTCTCGTTATTTTAAAGATGTTTTGGTGTACAGTTGTCCCAATCAAGCACTTGACCCAACAAAGCTGGTGTGTGGGGCAACAAAACCTACAGCAAATGTCATGCTGTTTTTAATAGATGCAATGTGGCAACTGTTTTTAAAATTAAATCTTTGTCTTTTGTAATTTTTTATTATTTGCATGATTTATATTTCACATTGAAGTTTTAATAAATCATTCAAAAAGGTCCCAACTTGTGTTTTTTCCCACCACTTTTAAACTTTTCATTTTCGCTTCTTCCTTCTGGTGGAAGACGAGTGCCAACATGCAGGTTAGGCGGAAGGCGCTTGCTCAGCTGAAGGAAGAGTAAGAGAAATTTTTTGCCTTTGCTATGATGATTCATGACTAGTTGACTCTTCTGCTTTTTGTGAATAGTAATTTGACCTGAGCTGAGGGGATAAAATAATTTACTTTGGAGCAGACACAAACCTTTCCTACATTTTCTAATAAAAAACAACAAAAATGTCAATAGGGCTTTATGTGGCATTGTTCTTTTTTTTGTTTGTTTTTTGTTTTGATTTTTTTTTTTACATTATGGCATGTTAAGAAGGTTTGGACTATTTCAGTCAGCTGAGTTGGAGCTGAGATGCAAATACAAATGTGTTTTTTCTGTCCCACATAGTATAATTGACCAGAAATGACCATTATGAGCCCCTTGTTTGAAATATTTACCGTGTTTTCTCCGTGGTTTGTGGCAAACCTTAATTTGGCATTAGCTGTATTTCTCGCTGGAGTTCAAATCAGTATTGAACTCTGTTATGTTCAAATCCAGTCATTGGCACTCGGTTACAAATTGTATAAAATGTATGGAGTTATAACACAAAGCTAACAGAGACTTTTTGTTTTGATATATATATATATATATATATATATATAGAGAGAGAGAGAGAGAGAGAGAGAGAGAAATATCTGACGTATGGTCATTCCGAAAACATATGACTTTAAGCATGAAAGTTGAGCAGGTATTTTTATTTCTTTTCATACTTCGCTTTGAGGTTCCTGCTATTTCTGACACTACGCGAACGCCGCAGCATTTACCCTGGAAAGGCTCTTGGCGCATGCGCGTGTCGCTGATTCGAAGCGGCTGCTGGTTGGAGTGCTGGCTGTGTCTGAGCCGCTCCTGTCACTCCCAGCTAAATCTTCTTGAATGAATTGTGCCGACTCTAGCTTCTCCTTCTTAGCTCACTACCAGTCGCGGAATTAAACTGACTGAATGTTCTTCCTGTGATTGAACCAGGAAACTGGACCTTCTTCCTGGCTAACAAACCTGCACATTGCTGCCTGGTATGTCCCGCTACCATAACTAACCAACAGCGTTACTCTCTCCTGCAATTACAAAAGCTATAAGTTAGATAGTTTGCCAAAGTGTTTAGTTGCCGTGGTTGTTTCTTAATTGGTTTAACACCGGGTCGAAGCGGCTTGCTGGTGTCGGATTTGCTAACTGAGTTCAAAGATCCAGCTAGCGTGTCCACGTTAGCAGTAACTTTACCGCTTCTTACGTGCTCAGTATGCTGGTTCTTAATGTTCTGGACGGCGATGCTGTTCAAAACACTACCGGTGTCAGCTTTCAACTCATAAAAAACATGATTACTCGCTGGAAATGGACTACAATTTGAACTTCCTCTAATCGGAGTGTTGCGCTAATAATCCCTTGGAGAAAAAAGTCAGGTTCATGTTAGTGGGTGTGTTCAAACCAGCTTCTTATTTAGCTGTTTTTTTTGTCTGTTGGATTAAATTACTCCATTGTGTGGTGGTGTGTCAGATTGTATCCCTGGAATTATTTTAATTTTCATTTCATGCCAACAAAAGTATCAACCTTACTGATGCTTAGCTTGTTGTCAATGTTTAGATCGATGCGTAAAGCCCTCTCACAGTTGGGGTTTTCAGAAAGAGTTGTTACTTTGAAATGATGATAAAATAACAAGCTACTAATGCATATTTTTAAATGCTGATTTCAGTACCTTTTTGAATTATTCATGGTGCTTGAACTTTTTCAGATTTTGTAATGTTACATCCACTGAAATCAACGGATTTTTAGGGAAATGTATCCGATGTAATGCATAAAGTAAAGATAAAATGATTCTGTCTTCAACTATTTTCTCAAATTAAAGAAATCTTATTGTTACATCAACCTCCTTTCCACAATACTCTTTAATAAAAACTAATTTGGCCAGATGTCCTCAGAAATTATCATTAGCTCTGCAGTCCTCTGTGGTTTATTATATACAGGAATATTATGATAAATTTTGCTGGATGATAAATTGTCCCGGAGGTTATTGCGATAAACGATAATATTGTTCCTTTGAGACCATTTTCAAGTAATAAAAGGGTAACAGCATAATGATGCAAAAACACATTTTCAAATATCAATAAACTTTAAATTCTAATGAATATTTAACACTAGAACTGGAAGACAATTTACATATCCAGAATAAATAAGCAATAGAAACAACACATAAAATGAATTATGATGTCTCTGTAAACAAAATTGTTCACCAAAAACTTGCTGGTTGAGACCAAAACGGATTTATTGTGACATTCCAAAGTATAGTGAACATTAATGAGCAAACGGCATTAATCAGAGAAGCAGCCAACTCTGGAGAGATGTACAGCTCCAGTGGGAGACTCTGTCAACATCTATTAGTCATTTATTCCACATATTTATCCAGACCTGGAGTCGGGAAGAAACCGGGCAATCATATTTAACTCAATCAGATTTAAACAAAGCAGGAAATCACTGTGATTTATACTTTTAAAAAGCCACAATCCGACATGAAATTGACAGTCTTCCTGTTGCCACAGGAGTGTGTGGGAAGCACCATGTGGAGGAAGGCTTCGGCAGCGCTCCTGCTGGCTTTGGCCGTCGGCTACTTCTACGGTGGCAGGCCGGAGCTGCCGGAGCAGATCCTCCAGTACATCGGCCTGCCCAACCTCCAGACGCCGTCGCAGAGCAACCAGGACCTGGAGCGGGCCATCTCTGCCGCCTGGGAGGCTCTGATCGCTTTGCCAAGCAGGCAGTGGACCAAGGTGGCAGTGGGGTGAGTGACGCTGATCTGTGGAGCTGGTCAGAGTCTGAGTGATTTTCCTTTAATCTGACATTTCTCAAGCCCTTCTGTGGCACGCGGCGCGTGTGTGGAGAGGCTGCGGCAGAACGCGTTATCATGAGTCAGCTTCTGCTCGGACATCTCGGTGAAAACAGCAGGTGCACAAGTGAGGGATGACACCGCGTGTAGTGTAGAGTAAAGGTCAAATTGTCGCCCCTAGCGCTGAGCGATAAATCGATTTTATCGGTTCGTTGAATGTTTGGGTTTTGAAGATTAAAGTTTTGGAAAAATGTAGATTTTTTTTTTCCGATGTCGATAAACCAGAAACAAAAAAAAAGAAAAAAAGAAGTTTGTGTTTTCTTCGCCTTGTTGCTTGTTAGTTTTATTGTTCCAATTCAGCACATCAATAAAATCTACTTATTAAACTCTGTGGAGATTTAAGTCTGTTATTTTGGAAGCAGTATATGTTCCAACGGTTTTTTATTCTGGCCGTTTCCATGGAAATATGAGGAGTTTTGTCTGATTTCATCAGGGGAGCTGATGACTCTAACTTTAAAATATTCAGTGTTGTTGCTTAAAAAAATTAAAAAAACCCACCTGAGTCTGCTTCAGGTGGCAGAACGTGATTGGCTGAGCCTAAGGCCCAGCCCTCCAGAGGGTGGGACATGCTGCACCTGGAGCTTTGATGACCTTTTATCTAAAGTGTGTGTTGGTAAAGGTGGTGTATGATAGCATTGAGCAGTCAGTGTGTGTTCACCTGTAATAAAGACCAGAGTTTATTACAGGAACTGCCTGGTTCTGTCCCTGAATAAAATATTTGACGACAAGCATCACATGACCCCAGGACATGCCGGGGTTTTTTTTCCCCTCTTTAATTTATTGTTGCAAGATTAAAAACGTGGACTGCTTGCCTTATTAACTGCCTTAATTGGATGTGTTTAGCATTTTTGTATTTTCTTCCAGTACCCAACATAAGCAAAATCCATTTTCTTCTGATTATTCTTGATCACTGAGTCCCGCCGTCAGACTGAAGTGACGCGTTTCCACTTTGGTTCTCTCGTTCAGGGTGAACGCCTGCGTCGACGTGGTCGTCAGCGGCGTGGGGCTGCTGCAGGCGCTGGCTGTGGATCCTGGCGCCGGCCGGGATCACGAAGTCCTGCACTCGAAAGATGACCTGAGGGAAACCTTCATCCACTACATGGAGCGCGGAGCAGCG